CAAAGCCAAGCTGAAACCAATCCCTCCCCTACTGCAGAAGCCTGCAGGTGGACAGTAACTGTAAGTATTATTTGGAATATGACTGCCAAGCATGCTCTTTAAAAAAATCTGGTTAAGTTTAATTTCTACAGACAGTTTTTTAATAACATTAAAGTTCTAAATACAGATATAATCACTTTGTTCCAGTTAAACCTCAATAGAACAACAGCCACCTCATGCAGTCATGAGGTGGCTGCAAAAGACACATCCGACATCCTCTGGATCTCCCGTGGAGCATGTGAGAATCACAGTTGGATGTTTTTGTGCCTCTTTGTTGTCTTTGCGGGACAGCGGGACACATCCTCCAGCATGGCAGGACTTATTTTTAAACCTCAGACGGTGAACGGTGCATGAATCACAGCCTTTTGTGGCAGGGCCATGTGGGTAGAGATGGACGGCGCTGGGGAGGAGGAGGGACAGGAGATGAGAGGAAGCTGATCACTTGGCACAAGCCTGCACGCTCCGCCGCTGACTCATCTGTCTTTCAGATGCAGGGACGGTTGTTAGGCAGGTGGGGGCGGTGTGGTGGTGGTGAAGGGGGAGGAGTGGGTGGGGGAGGCGGGATATTGAGGACATCTCCTGCATCATGGTGGACTCATGACTCACAAAGAAGAGTTGTGTGCGTGGGGGGGGCTGCAGCCAGTGGGAGATGTGTATGGACACAGGTAGATGCACACATGTGGAAACACACAAGCTGTGCAACATAATTACAAGTTGTGTTGCACCTGACGACCTCGAAGACTTCAATACGCAGGAATCATGTAGTTTGTTTTACACCAAAGTTTCACTATCACATCCTGTGTTCCAACATTTTGAATACATTTCTCATTTAGATTTGAGAACATTTTTTCCCATGTCCAGTACTGAGTGAGAGCGCTACAGCCTGCAGCTGTGATATGGCCTACAATGTAATCCTTGCGCACAATTGCGCACCATCAAAGTAGGTCCATTATAAGTGCTTTTTTTTTGCTTTTTTGAAAAATACTACAAATACCCTTTAAGGACAATTTCAAAGAACAAAACAGCACAGTTTCTCATCCCTGGTGGTATCTCGGCATACAGATAGTTTCTGTTTCTGTTTTTTATGGCTGTTCTTACAAGAAAAAAAAACAGAATTGATAAATTCTTAACATCACACTATCAACCTTGAACCTGCGTGGTGGCAGAGTCAAAAACATGAATGACTCATGTCTGATTTTACTCAGACTTTAACCTTACCTTCACCCCAATAACTTAACTAGTTATACAAAAAAGTGTGCAGTTCATTAACTGTTTCTTATACTGATGCTGATACTTTGAATCAATGTAAACATGTTTCCAGGGCA